CTACCTCAGAGGACGGTTCGCTGTCGTTCACGCTGGACTCTGGAGCCTCTCACTGCTTCTTTCGTGACAGCACGACACTTACGCCTCTTCCTGCGCCTGTTTCTGTGGCGCTGGCTGATCCCACTTCGGGACCAGTCACCGCGCGTCACACTACCACCTTGCCGTGTCCGGCTGCTCCTTCTGGGTCTCTCACTGGGTTTCACGTCCCCTCGTTCTCCCGGAACTTGGTGGGCGTGCGACCCCTTGTGAGTCAGCACGTGGGTGTGTGGTTTGAGCCTTCTGGAGAGACTGCGGTGTGTGTTGACGGGGACTCTTACCAGCCCCTCGCCACTTTTGCTGCTGAGCCGGGCTCCGGTCTCTACACTCTTCACACTGGCCCGCGCGCTCAGCAGCGACTGCAGCAGCAGCAGCAGCCGCAGCAGCAGCAGCCGCAGCCACAGCGGCCGCCGTCACAGCAGCCCCTCCTCCCAGTTCCTGTCCCTCCCCCTAGTCTCCTCCCTGCGTCTCACCAGGTGGTTCCGTCCTCTCAGGTTGTCGCGTCCAGTCCAGTCGCTGCGTCTTGCTCCTGTCGGTCGCTTGCCCACCCCACCGTTCTGTGGCACCACCGGCTGGGACACCCTTCTCTTCCACGTCTGCGTGCTATGTCTAGTCAGCGTCTGGTCTTAGGTCTCCCGCGTGTCTTGCCGTCGCTGCCGCCGTCCCTTGCACCACCGTGCGGTCCTTGCGTCGAGGGTAGGCTGCGTGCCACCCCTCACTCCTCCTCCCTTCGTCCGGCCACCGAGCCTTTTGAGACACTGCACTTGGACGTCTGGGGCCCCTCTCCTCGCCCTGGCCCTGAGCGTGAGCGTTTCTTTTTGGTGGTCGTTGACGACTACTCCCGCTACACCACAGTGTTCCCCCTGGCGAGGAAGTCTGAGGTGACTTCTACGCTGATCAGGTGGTTGCTTACCACCCAGGACACTCGTGGTCGTCGTGTCAGCTGTCTCCACTCCGACCGCGGGGGCGAGTTTCGCTCCGGCATTCTCGCTGGATTCTGTCGCGAACAGGGCATTCGTCAGTCCTGGACGCTTCCGGAGTCCCCACAGCAGAATGGGGTTGCTGAGCGTCGCATAGGCCTGGTCATGGAGATTGCCCGCACCTCCTTGACTCACGCCCGTGCCCCCCATTTCCTGTGGCCATACGCAGTCAGGTACGCCGCGCACCAGCTGAACCTCTGGCCACGCGTCTCTCGGCCGGAGGCTTCACCGACCAGTCTTTGGACAGGGTCCCCTGGTATCGCGTCGAGGTTTCGTGTCTGGGGGTGCTTGGCTCTTGTCCGCGACACCTCCGCGGACAAGCTCTCGCCTCGCGCCGTTTCTTGTGTCTTCCTTGGTTTCCCTGAGGACTCCTCTGACTTCACCTTTTACCACCCTCCCTCTCACCGGTTCTTTGACTCCCGTGACGTTCGTTTTGAGGAGTCCACCCCCTACTACGTCAGGTACCCCAGTCGAGGTCTCCCGGTTCCTCCTCCCCCCCTCTTCCTGACAGCCGCTCCCCCGCCTGCTCCCCCGGTACAGCCTCCCCCCCTGGTCCAGCCCCGTCTGGTGTGTCTCAGGCTAGCCCTCCCCCTTCGGTAGCCCCCCCTGTACAGCCTCCCTCCCCACAGTCTTCCTCGCCGCCTCCTGCAGGTGCTCCCTCTCGGGAGGTTGGTCCTGCGACTGTCCCTGTACAGGTCTCTGGTTCTGGGGGTGCTGGAGTTGGAGCTGAGCCGCGGGTTGCAGAGGACTCTTGTCTTCCGGGGGCTGGTACTGGTCGTGCGGAGTCTGGGGGTGCTGGTGCGGAGTCTGGGGGTGCTGCGTCTGGGGGTGAGGGTGTTCCTTCGGTTTCTGGAGAGCCTGGGTCTGGAGCTGGTGTTGGTGCTGCCTCTGGGGGTGGTGTGCTTGGTGCTTCGGAGGTCGACTCTGGGGCTGCCGCTGCCCCGGACACTACTCCTTCCCCCCACCCCTACCCGACCAGGTTCCAGGCTCGTGTTCGCCGTGCTCGTGAGGAGCAGCTGGAGTTGGAGAGAGAGGAGAGAGAGTTGCAGCGGCTCGAGGAGCAGGAGCGACAGCAGCAGGGGCAGCAGCCGCTGGAGCAGCAGCAGCCGCAGCAGCCGCAGCAGCAGCAGCTGCCGTCTCCTCCTCCTGTCTCGGGTCTTCGGACCCTTGGTCTCCCCTCTCCCTCTCCTTCCTCCTCCCCCTCTCCTCCCGTCTCTGGTCCTTCGCTTCCTCCTCCTGACCCCTCTCCCGCTGTTTTCCCTCGTTCTCAGTCTTCGTTGTCCCCTCCTTCTTCTCAGACTTGGGCCTCTCGTCGCTCCCCTCGTGCTCGTCCCTCGTCTCCTGTTCCCTTCACTGACCTTCGTACTGCCTTACTTCGTTCTAGTCCACCTCGTCCGTCTCCGTCTGTGCTTCCGTCTCCTCCTGAGTCGGCTCTCACTGCGTCGCTCCCTACTCCTGTCACAGACTACTACCGCACGTACCGTCCTCTTCTCTCTCGTGTTCTCGCCTCGCTTGTTACTCACCCTCGTGCCTCTGTGTCCTCTGTGTCCGCTCTTACTGCCGCAGTCACTGACTTTGCCTCTACCCGCCGCCTTGACTTCGCCACCGCTCTTGTGGCTGCTCCTCCTTCCAGTCCTCTGGCCGTCGGGGGTGTGTCTGCCCTTGGCTGTGACGCCCTAGAGGACAGGCAGTTTGAGCTAGAGTTCCTGGCCGCCGCTTCCCCTCATCTCTGTGCCATGCTCCTCGCCCCTGAGGGTGACCCCGACGCCCTTGACATTCCGACTCCTCGCACTTACGCTGAGGCAGTGTCAGGGCCTTGGGCCTCTCAGTGGAGAGCTGCCATGGACGCAGAGATGGCCTCCTACAGATCCACAGGCACCTACGTCGATGAGGTTCCCCCTCCGGGGGCGAACGTAGTCGACGGCATGTGGATCTACAGGGTGAAGCGGCCACCGGGATCTCCTCCGGTCTTCAAGGCACGCTACGTGGCTAGAGGTTTCAGTCAGCGCGAGGGAGTTGACTTCTTTCAGACCTTCGCGCCCACCCCGAAGATGACCACTCTTCGGGTGTTACTACACGTAGCAGCACAGAGAGACTACGAGTTACACTCTCTTGACTTCTCTACTGCTTTCCTTCAGGGCAGTCTTCACGAGGAGGTCTGGTTGCGTCGTCCCTCTGCCTTCACTGGCTCTTTCCCTCCTGGGACCCAGTGGAGGCTGAGGCGACCAGTTTACGGTCTTCGTCAGGCTCCTCGTGAGTGGCACGACACCCTGCGTTCTACCCTGTCTGACCTTGGGTTCCAGCCGTCTTCTGCTGACCCGTCGCTGTTCGTTCGTCGTGGCCCCACACCTTTCTTTGTTCTGGTCTACGTTGACGACCTTGTTTTCGCCACCCCTGACAGGGTTGCTTTGGCACACGTGAAGTCCGAACTGCAGAAGAGACACACCTGCACTGATCTTGGTGAGCTGCGCCACTACCTTGGCCTGCAGATCACCAGGGACAGAGCTGCTCGCACCATTACACTTTCACAGTCGCACATGGTGCAGCAGGTCCTTCAGCGGTTCGGGCTTCAGCACTCCACAGTACAGCGCACACCTCTTGCTGTTGACCACAGACTCACTGGACCCTTTCCTGACGAGCCGTTCGAGCCTAGTGGTCCCTACGCAGAGCTTGTGGGTTGCCTCATGTACCTGATGACTTGTACTCGCCCGGACCTCGCCTTCCCTCTCAGCGTTCTTGCGCGCTTTGTTGCGCCAGGGAGACACCGTCCTGTTCACTGGACAGCAGCTGTGAGGGTGGCGAAGTACCTAGCGACGACGTCAGGCGTGGGGCTAGTTCTTGGAGGGCAGCAGTCTGTCGTACTTACTGGTCACTGTGACTCCTCTTACGCTGACGACGCTGAGACTCACAGGTCTACTCAGGGGTACTGTTTCAGCCTGGGCTCTGGAGCTGTTTCCTGGCGGTCCACGCGCTCCTCTTCGGTCTCGACCTCTACAGCTGAGGCTGAGATCTACGCTGGTGCCATGGCGGCACAGGAGCTGCGTTGGTTGACCTTCTTGCTCACCGACCTTGGTGAGCGGCCGAGCTCTGCACCGACCTTGTTCACTGACAACAAGGCGTCTATTCTCCTTTGTCGAGAGCCACGACTGGAGAGCAGAGTGAAGCACATTCACGTCAGGTACTTTCTTCTGCGAGAGTTGCAGAGGCGTGGACAGGCTCGCTTTGAGTTTGTGGAGTCCGAGGCCAACACTGCAGACATCTTCACCAAGGCGCTTCCGCCTTGTGACCACCAGAGGTGCTGTGTGCAGTTAGGCCTTGTTGACACTGGTTCTCGTGTTGCTTAGGCTTGAGTGTACTGTTTACTTTGCTTTCTATATACCTCTGTTACTTCTTGGACTGGCCTTGTGGCCACTGTTGTTTGTGCTCAGACTGTGTGGTGACGTTGTGATCCACCCTGAGCTTCGTTTCTTGGACTGGTCTTGTGACCGTACTCGTTTGGTTCTGCTAGACACCCCTCACTTAGGCTATGGGGGTGTGTCAAATGTTGTAGCCTATAGTGAGGTTTGTCTTAGGGGGTACAAAAGTTAGGGTTAGCTATATGTACCCCAACCAACATCAATGCATCATCCATTCCTCATTCTGACACAAATGTGGAGCCTGTAGTGAGGCTTGTCTTAGGGGGGTGTATCTGTTAGGGTTTCTACATGTACCCCAACCACATCAATGAAACACAACATTCTCTCATTCTAACAGCTTGCTATTTGCACCCCAGTTCCATTCTAATCAACCCACTCCTTTCCTATCTTGAGACCTTGACCACATACACAGATCCATTTTCCCTACTCAGCATATTCTTAATTCCGCAACCACATCCATTCAGCCCATCTGCACCAAAAGGATAACTATACACAGGTACGTACTTGGGGATGAAGAATACCATACATTGGTATCCTAGGAAACACAGTAACAGCTCAAGTAAAATTTCTAAGTGTACTTCTGAATCAACAATAGGAGCTTGTCCTGGCTCGCTCCAACAAGCTCATCCACCTTCTTGCCGTCCTTGAACACATGGAAGGTAGGCATGGCGGAAATATTGCACTCCGCTGCCACGCTCTGCATTGCTCAAAAGCAAAAACGTTTTAGTGTACATCCCTTATAAGAAAAATACAAGGAAATTTCTGAATAAAATGGCACGCAGGACGTTTGAGGTGCTTCAATAGAGTATAATTCCCAACAAGACGATAAGCAGGAGGACAGACTACGAATGCACGAACCTGAAGTTGGTCAACATCCACTTTGGCGAAGATGATCGATGTGTATTCAGTCGCGTACTGGGCAAAGATGGGACCGATCATCCGGCAAGGGCCGCACCATGTTGCCGTGAAATCCACGATGACCTGAAAAGTCAGGGAGAGGTCAGAGATTTGATCGAGTTCAGGTGCGATAACTACCGATAGTAGGAAACAGAACACGGAGACGGGATATTGCATCGATACTCAGCATGGGAGAGCATAGTAACGCAACCGCGGGAACCGCAGCAGAAGCGACGCTGAACAATCTAGATCGACGCTGCGAGCTCACCACTTTCCCCTTGTCCTTCGCATCGCTGAGGAGTGTCCTCCACTCATTCTCGGAACTCACAACCACAACGCCAGCCATAGATCCTCGCAACCAGGAACAAAAGCTATCGACAACTAGCGACGAAAGGGTTATTTTTCGTGTTGAGTGGCTCTGCAAGGAATTCGATATAGGGGTTGCTGGCGTGCTTGGTGGCTATGGAAGAGAGTGAGTTGTCGTAATGACTGGAATGCTGTCAAATTCAATGCCCTAAAGTAGTCGGCATTCGGGCGCTGAAGATTCAACTCGAAGTTCCTTCCGAGTGCTTCATCGTCACGGCACGGACTGACATTTGGGAACACGGTTTGGGAATCTCGGACTGACGTTCCCCACACGTCACGACTGGTTTGCGATGTCCCCACGTTTCCGACAGCTTCACTGCGATGTTGATACGGACCGACGGCCAAGATTACACCTCCACTTCCCTTCTTGATTGACCCAGATTCGTAGAACACGTTTGCCATAACATCCAAACCAAACCTATTCGGCTGGTTCCGCATTCGTTTCGACACCCCGACGGCATACCGAAACCGTCAGTTGGGAGGGGCCTGGCGAACCAACAATATATGCTCGTGCGGGTTACTTGGTACACTCTTGAGCGGTACGACAGCCCCTAGCCTCACCCCCCCAACCACGCAACCCCTGCCGAACCATCGAGGTTTTCGGAGGCAAATCCAGGAATATTATTTCCCTCCATCTCCCACCCGCTCCCCCCCAAAATCCCACACGCTTGCAGAAGACGTCTCATTCGCCCCCTTTTTTTTTTCCGCCCCTCGCGTTCCACCGCGCTCTTGTTTCGCCGCCCACTCTTTCCGCCGCCTCTCCTTCCGCCGACCTCCGCGAATGGCGCCGGAGCTTCCGCCCGCGGAGTCGGAGTACGAAGCTGCGCGGAAGCAGCGGATTCAGGAAAACCAGAAGCGATTGGCGGTGAGTCGCTCTCAAATGGACCACTTCTTCGTTGCCCGCCGCGGCATGCGAAATGCACGTGCTCGCACATCAAGTCACCGCTGCCGCGTCGCGTGGCGACGTGACGCGCCTTAGTTCCGAATCTTAGCATTTAGGTTCGAAACCAACACGCTGCCTCGCCCGCTATTGCCAATACTAGCTTCTAACGACAGCGGGGAGGGGAAACGGAAGGACGGCGGGGTCAAGAGGTAAGGAACCTGAAAGAAGAGCTTCGGGAAACGATTGATCGGAGGTGCTGCCACGTGGACCTAGTTTTCTGTGTGGACCAACAGACATTTCGGTGCGCGCTTCGAGGCGGTCCAGCCAGAATGTGTAACACTTGGACAGCCTTTTCGGTTCACGATGGCCTTTGTGCTAGTCCCTTCAGTTCGCGAAGGGAAATGCTGTTTTCGTCGTACACGTTCCGAGGTTCATTTCGTGCAGTGGAAAGCCTTTTTGAGGCGTGCAGGATTCGAACCCCCTGTTGGCGGCATGAGTGCTCCTCTCCCCGTCAGCAGCACTCGCGGTACCCCATGATGGGGCGCGTGGGAGGCATGGGTCGCGTGGGAGGCATGGGGCGCGTGGGAGGCATGGGGCGCGTGGGAGGCATGGGGCGCGCGCATAATGCTCTTAACACAGCCTACAGGCAAAATGACGCCTCGCAATGGCGCGTCGCAAAATGGCGCCGCGCAAAGGCGCCTCGCAAAGTGCCACCTCCTGATGGCGCCGCGACTGGCGCGTCACACGCCCACTCGTCGTTATCACAGTCAAAACACACTACTGGAAGCATCGGGAGACCCGTCACCCATTGCGGAACCCACCTAGAGAGCAGCGCTTCTGGTGCTCGGCTTCTGGTGCTCGGCTTCTGGTGCTCGGCTTCTGGTGCTCGGCTTCTGGTGCTCGGCTTCTGGTGCTCGGCTTCTGGTGCTCGGCTTCTGGTGCTCGGCTTCTGGTGCTCGGCTTCTGGTGCTCGGCTTCTGGTGCTCGGCTTCTGGTGCTCGGCTTCTGGTGCTCGGCTTCTGGTGCTCGGCTTCTGGTGCTCGGCTTCTGGTGCTCGGCTTCTGGTGCTCGGCTTCTGGTGCTCGGCTTCTGGTGCTCGGCTTCTGGTGCTCGGCTTCTGGTGCTCGGCTTCTGGTGCTCGGCTTTTGGTGCTCGGCTTCTGGTGCTCGGCTTCTGGTGCTCGGCTTCTGGTGCTTGGCTTCTGGTGCTCGGCTTCTGGTGCTCGGCTTCTGGTGCTCGGCTTCTGGTGCTCGGCTTCTGGTGCTCGGCTTCTGGTGCTCGGCTTCTGGTGCTCGGCTTCTGGTGCTCGGCTTCTGCTTCTCCCTTCTGCCCCGCATACCTTGCGCTTTCCCCTTTCCCCTCCCACCTTTCCTCCCTCCGCGCTGCCATCCGGCGCTGCTGGGAATCCAGGAAGCCTCAAGAGCGACCAAGCCTGTGGCAGGCCTCCACCTCACCACAGCCTGTGGCAGGCCTCCACCTCACCCCAGCCTGTGGCAGGCCTCCACCTCACCACAGCCTATGGCAGGCCTCCACCTCACCACAGCCTGTGGCAGGCCTCCACCTCACCACAGCCTGTGGCAGGCCTCCACCTCACCCCAGCCTGTGGCAGGCCTCCACCTCACCCCAGCCTGTGGCAGGCCTCCACCTCACCACAGCCTGTGGCAGGCCTCCACCTCACCCTGTCCCTTTTCTGCCCCTCATACTTGCGCGTACCCCTTTCCCCTCACCCCTTTCCCGACCTAGAAGCCTCAAGCGACCATCCCTGTGCCCGGCCTTCACCTCACCTCGCCCCTCCACCTCGCCCCTCCACCTCGCCCCTCCACCTCGCCCCTCCACCTCGCCCCTCCACCTCGCCCCTCCACCTCGCCCCTCCCCCTCGCCCCTCCCCCTCGCCCCTCCCCCTCGCCCCTCCCCCTCGCCCCTTGACCTCACCCTGTCCCTTTTCCCTGCCACCTCTCCATCTGTTTTCTATACGCCTCAAATACTTCTCCCTTCTCATCTTCATACCTCGCCTCGCACACTTTCCTGTCCCTTTTCCCCTCCCCCTGCCACCTCTCCTTCTGTTTCTCCCTCCCTGTTTCCTTCCGGTGCTGCTGGAAATTCAGGAAGCTTCAAGCGCCCGAGCTTGTGCTGGGGTTCTACTTGCTCTCCCCTTCCTCTCCTCGCACATTTCCTGTTCTCACCCCCTCCCACCCCTCCCACTCCTCCAAACTCTCCCACCCACCCCTCCCACCCCTCCCAACCCTTTCTTGATTCATCTATTCCTCCAGTCGTCAGGCGCCAGACATTAATCAAGCCCCAAGCGAGAAATCCTGTGTCGTTGCCCTTTCTCCTCCCCTCACAACACCCACTCACTCCCACCCCTCCAGCCCCTCCCACCCTTCCCCATCCCCCTCCCACTTCTCCCTGCCTGCCTGCGGCCATCAGCCTTCCGCATGCCTCAAGTGACAAGCCTCCTGCGGCCTTTGCTTGCTGTTTCCTTCTCCTCCTCTCACGTCACCACCTCCCACCCCTCCCTGCGGCCATCAGGAGCTGCGCATACTGGAGGCCTCAAGAGAGCTGCCCTCTGGGGCCTCAACGTGCTGTCCTCTCTCGTAACCACCTCCCACCACCTCCCAAACCTCTCTCGCTCCTCCCTGTGGCCATCAGGAGCTGCGCATACTGGAGGCATCGAGGGAGCTGTCCTCTGGGGCCTTTACGTGCTCTCCTCTCTTATCACCACCTCTCACCACCTCCAAAACCCTCCCACCCCTCCCTACGCCATCAGGAGCTGGGAATACTGGAGGCATCGAGGGATCTGTCCGCCTCGCAAGAGTGCAAGCCCACAGTGAGTTCTTTCCCGAGTTGACTTTTGAGTTGACTTTTAAGTCGAGTTGACTTTTGAGTTGACTCAGAAGGTCAGCTGGGCATACTGGAGGCATTGAGGAAACTGTCCGCCTCGCAGGAGAGCAAGGCCTCTGTAAGATCTTTCCCGCACCCCTGCGCTCCTCTCTTTTCCAGCTCCATCCAAAGTTGCTTAAATAAGAGTTGAGTACATGTGCGTGTGAGAGTGAGTGAGTGAGTGGGTGAGTGAGTGAGTGAGTGAGTGAGTGAGTGCGAGCGTTGGTTGGACTGCTCTTGAGGGGCACCTTAAAGCCCAATAGTGGACTGAACTGAAGCACACCTGCTGGTAGGGTTATCTTAAACTGTTGGGATTATATGCAGGTTGAGTTGAGTCGACAATCAGCTTGGGAGGAATGATGTGGAAGGAATTTGAGAAACGAAAAATGTTTAATTCTTGGACTTCTCGGGCCGGCCAGGTTATGCCACCATGGGGTACTGTGTTTTGTACACGTGGTGTTTTTTCTTGGGTCATCAACAGCATGTAACCGTTCAAAACGTCCGAACGAAATAGTGATGGCTGGATTTTGCAACGCCTTTACCACACTCGCTGGTGGGTGGGTGGGTCAGTATTGTTGATCGGTCGCACCATTACGGACGAGCCACCTGACCCAATCAGTTGGTCAACTCAACTTTACTCAAACTCGATTTCCTCCTTCCCTCCCTCCCTCCCTCCCTCCCTCCCTCCCTCCCTCCCTTCCTCCCTCCCTCCCTCCCTCCCTCCCTCCCTCCCTCCCACCCCCCCCCCTCCCTCCCTCCCTCCCCCCCTCTCTCCCTCCCTCCCTCCCATCCTCACCCATCCTCCTCACCCGTCCTCACCCCTCTCCACCGCGCCAGACCCCGCGCAGCGAGGTGAGGAGGGCGCCAAGGCAGCGAGAGCTATTGCTACCACAGCGCAAGTCAGCTCGCATGGCGGCCAAGGGGGAACGGCCGAGATACGTTGAGGAGGTGAGTGAGGTGGATGGAACAGGAGGAGGAGGGGAGATGATGGGGGGTTTGGATGGGTGGGTGGGTGGATGGGTGGGTGGGGGGAATAAGGAACAAGGCACAACCCAGGGATGGCATCGGGAGCTGCTGCTGCCACAACGCAAGTCAGCCCGCATGGCGGCCAAGGAGGAACGACCGAGATACATATTGAGGAGGTGAGGTGGATGGGATGGGCGTGGGGTTTGGGGGTGGAAGGGCGGGTAAGGAGCCATACTCAAACCAGTGGCACTGCCGCTGCTGCCACAGCGCAAGTCAGCTCGTATGGAGGCCAAGGGGGAACGGCCGAGATTCGTTGAGGAGGTGAGATTAGTGGAAGAGGGGCGGGGGTTGGGAGTGGATGGGTGGGTAAGGAGCAACACACAAACCAGTGGCGCTGCTGTTGCTGCCGCAACGCAAGTCAGCCCGCATGGCGGCCAAGGGAGAACGGCCGAAATAAGTTGAGGAGGGGAGATCAATGCAATGGATTTGGGGGTAATGGATGCCGGGGGGTTATACAAGGCACAGCCTGGGGGACGGGATGCCAAGTTGGCGGTTACCCGCTTCAAGACAACCAGTGGCGCTGCCGCTGCTGCCACAGCGCATGTCAGCTCGCAAGGCTGCCAAGGGGGAACGGCTAAGATGCGTTGAGGAGGTGAGTGAGATAGGACTGGGAAAAGAGGGGGTTGGGTGATTCATTGATGGAGGGGATTGGGGTAGGCGGCAAGGCATTGTGTGAGATACCAAGTGCATTGTGAGGCGTTTCAAGAGAGCGAGGGACGTCAGGACAGTATCAGGTGAGTCCATGTCGTGCGGCAGTGTGCTTTGACAGGCGTGTAGTGTAGTTCTTCCAAGGTCTATAAGGTGAGGTGGTGGGGGTATTAATAGTGGTACTCTGGACCAATGTCACGTTGTGACTCTCTTAAGCTGCTGTGAGCCAATGCATCTGCAGTGTGTGTGTGGATTGGTGAAATAGCCTTTTGCACGTTCTTTCTTTCCATGTCCCCGCCCCACAAGACGTGTGGTAATGGTTCTCCTTTTTTCTGAGTTCTGTTCAGATGTTACACACCCTTGTGAGAAAGAAGAATTGTTGCACTGAATAATGAGCCAAAAGGCTCTTTAGTACAAGCAATGAGCAAGAGAGAGATAAGAGGGAAGCTTACCCTATTGGCCAATAAGTTGGCCAATGGGTGAGTTTGCTTGTGGCCCAAGCAACCACAAAATGTGTGTTGGTTGGGATTGGTTAAGGTAAGGACCAATCCCCACCAACCACAAAATGTGGTTGGAGGGTACACTAACCAACCCCCCAATTTATAAGACTGCTGCACATCTAAGTCTAGCCTATGCATGTTGTATAAAATATGGAATTACAACACAACCCCCCAACATGCATAAGGCTACCGAGAAGGTTATAATCAAGAAGTGGAGACCAACTTTGGAGGAGTAAGGCCAAGGAGACGAATCAGTGAAGAGTGAGCCGCATGCGGAAGAGCTTTCGTGAAGATGTCGGCAAGGTTGGCTGCGGAGTCAACCTTATCGAGCCGAAGGTGCCCAGCCTGAACAAGATCGCGAATGAAGAAATGACGGAGCTCAATGTGCTTGGAGCGCCCGTGAAACACAGCATCCTTCGTGAGGTGAATGGTGCTGGCGTTGTCACACCAAATGGTGGGACAGCGCTGGGGGGCACCAAGCTCCTCAAGAAGGAAGGAGAGCCAGCGAGCCTCTTGTGCAGCCATGGTGGCGGCATACAACTCGGCTTCGCAGGACGAGAGGGCGATAGCCGAGGAGCGCGTGGAACGCCAGCTGATGAGGCCGCTGCCAAGAGAGAAGCCATAGCCCTGAGAGGAGCGACGATCTGGTCGGGAATCAGCCCAGGAGGAGTCACTGTAGCCGCTGAGGAGAGGTGGGGAAGGACATAGTCCTTGGTGCCACGAAGGTACCGGAGGACGCGCTTGGCAGCCTGCCAGTGCTCGTCCGTATGCTTGCCAGCGCCAACAAACCGAGCGAGGACGCTGATGGGGTAGGCAAGGTCAGGGCGAGTGGAGACCATGGCGTACATGAGGGAGCCAATGAGCTCGGGATAAGGATGGGAGGACGATGAGGGGGAGGTGGGTGGAGAGAGGTGGTGCCCGACAGAAAGAGGTGTAGGTTGGGCGCCGCCGCGGGCCATGTCAAACCGCTCTAAGACCTGCTGCAAGTAATGACCCTGGGAGAGTGAGATGGTGCGGGCGGAGCGGTCACGGGTGATGGTCATGCCCAGGTAATGCTGAAGTTCTCCCAAGTCTTTGCACTTGAGACGGCTACCCAACTCAGCCTTAACACGTTCCAACTCTCCAAGGTCGACAGTGAGTAGGATCATGTCATCGACATACACAAGGATGTAAAATGGGGAGGGGGAGGTGCGGAGGAAGAGGCTGGCGTCAGAGCGGGAGGTGCGGAACCCAAGTTCAGCAAGGGTGGCGGCAAGTTTAGCATGCCACTCCCTCGGGGCCTGTCGGAGCCCATACACAGGTCGACGCAGCTGCCAGACAGAGTCTGCTGGGAAGGGGAGGTGAAAGCCGGCTGGACGCTCCATGTAGATAAGCTCGCGGAGGACGCCTTGCAGGAAGGCGTTAGAAACGTCCATCGAGTGGATCTCCATATTGAGGCGAGCGGCGAGGTCGAGCACGGCGCGAACAGTAGCAGGCTTGGCAGTGGGGGAGAAGGTATCGAAGAAGTCAAAACCATACCGCTGCGTGAACCCCTTGGCGCAGTAACGAGCCTTATAGACGGGCGGCTCCCCTGGTAGCTGCTTGACGCGAAACACCCACTTGCCTTTCACCACGTTCGTAGGGGCGGGAGGGCGAGGCACATCAACAAAAGAGGAGTTGCCGATAAAAGTCTCCAGCTCCTTGATGATGGCGGCGAGCCATAGTAGAGCGTCAGGGCACGCCATCGCCTCCTCATACGTGGTAGGAACGAAAATGGAGGGAGCAGAGGAGAAGGCGAAGACAGGTGTGCCGGAAAGGTCGAACGTGATGGGTAGAAGCGAGGGGTTATAAAGGTGGAGGTCAAGGATCTCCTCATGGGAGTCCTCAGAGAGGGAGGTGTGGAAGGCGCGGATGACTGCTGGTGCTGCTGCTGGTGCCGCTGCTGGTGCCGCTGCTGGTGCCGCTGCTGGTGCCGCTGCTGGTCCTGCTGCTGGTGCCGCTGCTGGTGCCGCTGCTGCTGCCGCTGCTGGTCCCGCTGCTGCTGCCGCCGTTGCTCCTGCCACTGCCGCCGCTGCTGGTCCCGCTGCTGCTGCCGCTGCTGGTCCCGCTGCTGCTGCCGCTGCTGGTCCCGCTGCGGGGTCCGCTGCTGGGGCCGCTGCTTGTGCCGCTGCTGGTGCCGCTGCTGGTGTCGATGCTGGAGAGGAGGTGGCTGAGGAGGCTGTTGCATGAGGGGCTTGATGCAAAACAGCCTGGAAGAAGTGACGAAGGAGGGGGGAGAGAGGGGGGAGGGTAGAGGTAGAGAGGGTAACGGGAGGTGGTGCACCAAGGATGCTGTCACGTGACCTGGTGTGGGGATACCGGGTGAGTATAGTGCGGGGAGGGGAAGGATGGGTCAGTGGCGAGGGAGAGGAAGGGGGGGAAGGGGGGCACTAGGAGAGGAGTGAGCGGGGGAGACAGGAGAAGACAAAGGGTCCGGGTCAAAGATGTCACCAGACGAGGGAGGGGTACCGTGGGACTGGGACGGCGGAGGGGGGGAGGGTGGGAGGATGGGGGGAGGAGGGAGTAGTGGGGGAGGGGTGGTGTCAGACCAGACAAGGGGACGGGTGAGAGGGGGGAGTGGGTCAGTAGATGGAGGGGAGGAGTAGTAGGGAGTGGACTCGTCAAAGACCACATCCCTGCTGCGGATTAGACGACCGGATGGGGGGTGGAGGAAAAGGTAGTCGGGGGAGGAGGGATTATGACCAAGGAAGATGCAAGGAAGGGTACGAGGGGCAAGCTTTCCCATGGATCGGGAGCGGTCAGAGGGGTGAATAAGGACATGTGCCTTAGAGCCCCAGACACGAAGTGATGAGGCATCAGGCTTGTCCTTCGTCCAAAGCTCAGTGGGGGTGATGGAGGGGAGAAGGGGGTGAGGGTAAAGGTTAGTAAGGAGGGCGGCATGAAGGAGGGCGTAGCCCCACAGAGAAGGGGGGCATGAGGCGTGGACAAGCAGACACCGGGCTGTTTTGGTGATCTCTCGAACACGACTCTCAGCCACACCGTTCTGCTGTGGGGAGTGAGGGAGGGTGTAAGTCTGAAGGATGCCACGAGACTGACAATAGGAGGAGACTTGGTTGTTAAGGAACTCACCACCTCCATCAGAGTGAAGGCGGCGAACAGGGCGCCCAAAATGGGTGTTTGCCCGCTCGAGCCAGGCGATGATCGCAGCCGGGGCATCCGCCTTTGTCCGAAGAAGAGAGACGGACGAGTACCGACTGTGATCATCAACAAGCACAAGAAGGTAGCGATGGCCCTGGCGAGTGGGAGAGGGATTAGGGCCCCATAGGTCCATGTGAACAAGATCAAGTGGCTGCGCAGCAGCGGAGGGGGAGCTCCGGTGCGGCTGCTGCTTGAGCTTGCTCTGAACGCAGACGGTGCAGGGGGGTGCAGGGGATTTGGGGAGGGGAGGGAGGGAGGAGGGGAGACCGTGGAGGAGACCGGAGGAGACAGATGAGCGGAGAGTAGCGAAGTTGGGGTGGCCTAGCCTGTGATGGAGGAGGATGGTGGGGTGGGAGAGGGAGCGACAGGAACAGTCAGAGTCAGGAGGGCGGGGTGGGAGGGGTGGGTTAGTGGGAGGGAGGGGAGGGGGAGGGGGAAGGAGGGGGGGGAGGCAACTTGGAAGGTGAGGGGGCGGGGAACCCGAAGGGTGTACAGACGGGAGCGGGGACAATAGGGAATACGGGCGAGAAAACGACATGTGGAGGTTTGGTATAGGTCACAATGGTTAGCACCACCTGGGATGAGAGTGGTGATCATGGCTTGTTGGAGGGACCTTTGGGAGAGGAGGTTAGTACGAAGGGAGGGAATGTGGAGTCCGGTGACAGTACCTGAGGGAAAGAGAGGACAGGGAAGGGTGGAGGTGTTGTGACAGGGGATGGAAAAGCTGCTATCAGCGCCGAGGAGGGAGGTTGGTGTGGGGAGAGGGCGCAGTGTACCAGCGTCACGAAGGACAGTGTCAGTGGCTCCACTGTCCAGAACGAAGTCAATGGTGGAGGAAGGTGAGGCAGAGTACTGGAACGACGTTTCATTAGCAGAAGAAGGGTACATGGGAGATGCAACAGATTCAGGTTGACCTAATAAACCAACAAAACCAGAGGAAGGGAAAGCGGTCGCACTGCCACCTGCAGACGGCGCCGGGGATGCACCCGAGAGATGGGCTGCAGAGGCAGCACTCCCAGCAGTCCAGGCAGGAAAGGGCTGCTGCTGGGATACCGGAGGAGGAGGGAGGAGGGGCAGTTGCGGCTGGAGGTCTAGCTGCTGCTGGAGTTGCTGGAGCTGCTGCTGGAGCTGAGGTAGGAGAAGCTGCTGCCCATACTGCTGTGACCCCTGCTGCTGATTCCCAAGCTGCTGCTGCTGTTGCTGCTGCTGGTGCTGCTGCTGGGGAGGGGCGAGGGCCTGGTGGGCGTGGGTGGAGGAGGAAGGTTCATAGAGGGGAGAGGAACGGACCTCAAGGGGAGTGGGGCGAGGGTTGAGGGCGGACCAGCGAGGAGGGGTGCCGGTGTTGCCACGGGCAAACCACTCATCACTGAGTGCCTTGAAGCACGTCTCAGTGGCATGGGTGGTTTGGCCGCAGCGCTGTCCCTGAGTGGGACCGTAGCGAGGCAGGTACTGACAGGGAGGAAAGGCAGCTGCGGCACCACGACCTGTACCTCCGCTACCAGCACCACTGCGTCCTGCTGATCCCCCTCGTCCACCCCCACGCCCACCACCACGCCCACCCCCACGCACACCACCACGGCCACCCCGGCTGCTGCGCGATTGGGCTGCTGCGGCTGTGGAGGAAGAGTGGCGAAGGATCTCAGCTTCGGTGGTGATAATCCACTGAGCGACTTCAGCAGGGGTGTGGTGCTTGGAGATAAGCTGCATGTACGCAAGCTTGTGAGCGTCGAAGGCAGGTGTCAGGCCCTCAAGAAGGTGGCAGCAAATGACAGCATCTGGGTACACCACATTAAGTGCTGCAAGGCGTCGAGCGAGATCTAGGACGCGGCGAGTGAAGGCAGCTGCGCCGGAGGTTGAATCCATAGAGAGAGTTCCGAATTCTTTGATAAGAGCGTAGAGGGTGGCGACGTCTTGACGGTCGAAAAGGTCGACGAGTGATCGCCACAGGTGGGAGGAGGAGGTGGGTGAGAGCTCGCGTTTGAGGGAGGAGGGAATGGTGGCGAGAAGAATGGCAAGCGCGCGTCGGTCAGCAACTCGCCAGGCAGTGATTTTGGTGGTGTAGTCGGCAAGTTGTGCAGCGTAGGTGTTGAGGTCCTCCTGGTACTTGTTGTGGAGGGCAGCAGCAGCATCATATGTGCGCTTGTCCTCTTCGTAACGCAGTTGCTGGCGTAGGTGCTCTTGGAGAGCGGTGCGGTATGTGCGAATGGCGGTTTCCGAGCTCTGTGGGTCGTTTATATTCGGCGCGAAGGTGGGAGGGTCACCCGGGGGGATAGGCTCGGCCCCAGGAGTGGCGGGGGCAGGCCCAGTAGGAGCGGTGGGGGCGACGGGCTGAAGACCGGTGTCTTCCTGGAATACAATCGATCGAAGGTTGTAGCCGCTGACTACGATAGAGGAGAGAAGCACCTCGATTGAGTGAGCGTAAGAGTGCCAATTAGCAGCAGAGTTGTCAGCAAGTAGCTCAAGTGCGTCAACTGTAGCGACATCGGCAGAGGAGTCGGATGATGATGCCATAGGGACGAGGTCGAGGAGAGGGAAGAGGAGGAGGCAGGTAATGTGCTGGTCTCGCTGCCGCTGCTGGTCCCACTGCTGCTGCCGCTGCTGGTCCCGCTGCTGCTGCCGCTGCTGGTCCCGCTGCTGCTGCCGCTGCTGGTCCCGCTGCTGCTGCCGCTGCTGGTCCCGCTGCTGCTGCCGCTGCTGGTCCCGCTGCTGCTGCCGCTGCTGGTCCCGCTGCTGCTGCCGCTGCTGGTCCCGCTGCTGCTGCCGCTGCTGGTCCCGCTGCTGCTGCCGCTGCTGGTCCCGCTGCTGCTGCCGCTGCTGGTCCCGCTGCTGCTGGGTAGAACAGGAGGAGGACGAACGGGGGAGGGGGGGGGGAGGAGGGAGGGAGGAGAGGGGGAGGAGAGGGGGGCGGGGGGGCGCGGTGTGGTTGGAGGGCGGGAGGACGACGACGACGAACAGGCTTGCGGCGAACGCGTTGGGCGAGGAGGTGCGATGCGGAGGCGCTGGACGAGGAGGCCTGCTGCGGACGCGCGCGACAGGCAGAGTCGCCGCGGATGCACGCAACAAAGGAGCCCGTGCGGCGAGCAGGTCGCAGCCGTCGGTGAGCAGATCGCGACCGTCGGCGAGCAGATTGCGGCCGTCAACGAGCAGATCGACGCCGTCGACGAGCAGATCGGGGACGTCGACGAGTGAATCGCGGCCGTCAGCGAGCAAACCGCGGCCGCCGAGCAGGTTGCGGCCGTCGGCGAGCAGATCTGAGCCGTCGACGAGCAGATCTGGGCCGTCGACGAGCAGATCTGGGCCGTCGACGAGTAGAACGCGGCCGTCGAGCAGAACGCGGCCGTTGACGAGGAAATTGCGGCCGTTGAAGAGGAAATCGCGGCCGTCTCAAAGGTAGGTCGCGGAGAGGGCAAATACGGTCCGCGGGAGGGCGGATCTGGTCCGCAGGAGGGCGGATCTGGTCCGCAGGAGGGCGGATCTGGTCCGCGGGAGGGCGGATCTGGTCCGCGGGAGGGCGGATCTGGTCCGCGGGAGGGCGGATCTGGTCCGCGGGAGGGCGGATCTGGTCCGCGGGAGGGCGGATCTGGTCCGCGGGAGGGCGGATCTGGTCCGCGGGAGGGCGGATCTGGTCCGCGGGAGGGCGGATCTGGTCCGCGGGAGGGCGGATCTGGTCCGCGGGAGGGCGGATCTGGTCCGCGGGAGGGCGGATCTGGTCCGCGGGAGGGCGGATCTGGTCCGCAGGAGGGCGGATCTGGTCCGCGGGAGGGCGGATCTGGTCTGCGGGAAGGCGGATCTGGTCCGCAGGAGGGCGGATCTGGTCCGCGGGAGGGCGGATCTGGTCCGCAGGAGAGAGGATAGCGCCTAAGACGTGAAGCGGGAGGTAGCGCTTAAGGAAACACAGGGAGGGAGGCCAGTATTGGCCGGGTAGGAAGAGAGGTACATGTTAGGACGGTCCTAAGGATCTTGGTAGGGCGTGAGCCATAAGCTCTGAATACCATGTGAGAAAGAAGAATTGTTGCACTGAATAATGAGCCAAAAGGCTCTTTAGTACAAGCAATGAGCAAGAGAGAGATAAGAGGGAAGCTTACCCTATTGGCCAATAAGTTGGCCAATGGGTGAGTTTGCTTGTGGCCCAAGCAACCACAAAATGTGTGTTGGTTGGGATTGGTTAAGGTAAGGACCAATCCCCACCAACCACAAAATGTGGTTGGAGGGTACACTAACCAACCCCCCAATTTATAAGACTGCTGCACATCTAAGTCTAGCCTATGCATGTTGTATAAAATATGGAATCACAACAACCCTTGTGTTGATTCAAAAGTCGACATGTGTGTGTGCAAGGGTTGAGTCGATTCAAAAGTCGACATGTGTGTGTGCAAGGGTTGAGTCGATTCAAAAGTCGACATGTGTGTGTGCAAGGGTTGAGTCGATTCAAAAGTCGACATGTGTGTGTGCAAGGGTTGAGTCGATTCAAAAGTCGACATGTGTGTGTGCAAGGGTTGAGTCGATTCAAAAGTCGACATGTGTGTGTGTGCAAGGGTTGAGTCGATTCAAAAGTCGACATGTGTGTGTGCAAGGGTTGAGTCGATTCAAAAGTCGACATGTGTGTGTGCAAGGGTTGAGTCGATTCAAAAGTCGACATGTGTGTGTGCAAGGGTTGAGTCGATTCAAAAGTCGACATGTATGTGTGCAAGGGTTGAGTCGATTCAAAAGTCGACATGTGTGTGTGTGCAAGGGTTGAGTCGATTCAAAAGTCGACATGTGTGTGTGCAAGGGTTGAGTCGATTCAAAAGTCGACATGTGTGTGTGCAAGGGTTGAGTCGATTCAAAAGTCGACATGTGTGTGTGCAAGGGCCAAGTCATGTGTGTGTGTGTGTGTATGTGTGTGTGTGTGTGTGTGTGTGTGTGTGTGTGTGTGTGTGTGTGTGTGTGTGTGTGTGTGTCGGCTGGGGCCAAGTTGATCTAGCTGGACGAGCCATGTCCGGGTTGGGTTGGCTAGACTATCTGTCCAGCCGGGGGGGGGGCTGGTCGTTCGAACAAGGTGATGGATTCGAGTCAATTCGAGCAGCACGTTTGGCTTTTCAGGTACCTCAAAAGCATACCAGTTTGACATTTCGGCCTTTCTCTTTTCTCTCTCTCTTTCTTTCTTTCTTTCTTTCTTTCTTTCTTTCTTTCTTTCTTTCTTTCTTTTTCTTTCTTTCTTTCTTTCTTTCTTTCTCTCTTTCTCTCTTCTCTCTTCTTTCTTTCTTTCTTTCTTTCTTTCTTTCTTTCTTTCTTTCTTTCTTTCTCTCTTTCTTTCTTTCTTTCTTTCTTTCTTTCTTTCTTTCTCTCTTTCTCTCTTTCTTTCTCTCTTTCTTTCTTTCTTTCTTTCTTTCTCTCTCTCTTTCTTTCTTTCTTTCTTTCTTTCTTTCTTTCTTTCTCTCTTTCTTTCTCTCTTTCTTTCTTTCTTTCTTTCTTTCTTTCTTTCTTTCTTTCTTTCTTTCTTTCTTTCTTTTATTTTCTTCGCTTTTCTTTTCTTTTCTCTTCTTTTCTTTTCCTTTCTTCTCTTCATTATTTCACTTTGCTCCGTGTTCAACTTTCACTCCTATCGCTTCCACACAGTGGAGTCCACCATCGAAGTTTGCTTTGCATGCATCCTCCTGCATTCTGTCCTGAAATGTTGTTTCCATATTCTGCCTACTATGGAGCATCATAAGTGAGTACTCCAGTCTAATTATGTGACTTTTGAGTCGACTCAAAAGTCAATGAGTGAGTACTCCAGTCTAGTAAGCTTTTGGGGCATGCACTAATAGGGAAGGGATGCAACGCTTTTAGCGCTACGGGTTGCAACATGGTTTTCACGCGGTGGAGTTTTAGGTTTGGATTATGCGTAGGTAGCTCTAGGGCTAAGAACACGGCTCAGTTACAATTTTGTTTTGGTTGGCTCTCTCTTTTTTTTTTTTTTTTGATTGCCTGTCAGGGTAACCTCTTTTTCTCTGTTCTCAGAATTCACGTCCGGGACCGATGGAGATACTTAATATAGTATTCGTCTAGTCTCGAGCCACGAATCGCTTGCAAGCCAGGCACCTCGGGTCTAGATTATTGACTAGACTAGACTAAACTTGAGCCAAGCCGCAGCTTGACCAGACAAGTGAAATTTCGAGCTGCAAGTCCTGCACATTCAACTCAACTCGACTAGGATCGAACCGCAGTCGATCGACCCAAAGGCAGTTCAATAAATTATCGAGTGGGGCTTAACCAGGCTCGTGCTGATGTTTCATTTCCGGTACTGCTCCTCCAATCACACCTCCAAGATTGCGTAATCTTACGTACCTATGGGTGGGTACACACTTGACCTTCGATGGGGATCTGCGGTTTGTCCATTCAGTGAGCCCAAACCTGCGCTGCTTTCTTAGGGCGGATGGAGAGAGCGGGAGTTTGCCTTGAAGTTCATGTGTCAGACAGCTTATCCGGGTGTGTTTTTGAGTCGACTCATAATACACTTGGACTGGTTGACACACAGGGAGGGGAAGGGGGGGGGGCGGCTGGCAAGGGAGGAGGCCACTTGTGTGGCTTGAGAATTGACAACTGTCTCTTCCTAAAGTGCTGCCAGTATTGGACTGCTGTGCAATGGGCTATGTGTTGCCATCGGCACACTTTCTATTCCCTGCACTCCTGCAAGGGATGCAGCATCTACGCTTCTCCACCTCACAATGCAATGCGGAGGCAAGAAGTTCGTATGTGTGAGCTGTGAGGGGGGTGGTACTGGTATGTGAGCTGGGAGGGGGGGTACTGGTATGTGAGCTGGGAGGGGGGGTACTGGTATGTGAGCTGGGAGGGGGGTGGTACTGGTATGTGAGCTGGGAGGGGGGGTACTGGTATGTGAGCTGGGAGGGGGGGTACTGGTACTGGTATGTGAGCTGGGGGGGGGGTACTGGTATGTGAGCTGGGAGGGGGGGTACTGGTGAGATGTTTCAAAAGCCAACGCGTTTCCACCTCCAATAGTGGCATGCAGTGCAGACAAGCGGGACGCGTTAGGTGGGCAGGGCAGGGCGAGATGCTAACGTGCGAGAGAGAGTCAAGTGATGCGTATTGTGGTGAAGACAGCGCTTTTCCACCCACCTGCTCGTCCCAATCGCGGCACACAGGGCAAGCGGGTCGTGTGAGCCTGGAGGCAGACTAGTCTTGACTGAGTATCGCCGCCACGTGATGCACAAGTCAATTGTGTCTTCAAAGTCAGAGCTAGCTTCCCCGCATGCTGCTATTGCGTTGCGGCGCGCAGACAAGCGGATCGTGTGAGGGAGCCACAAGCCGAAGCGTTTGTGAGAGACAAGTGTCGCGCATTCTGAAATTCAACGCTTTTGCATGCACCCGCCTGCTCCAATTGTGGTGTTCTGGCAAGCAAGCCGTGTGAGCCGCCGTGTGAGCCGCCATGTGAGTCGCCGTGTGAGTCGCCGTGGCGGAATACTGCCGCCGTGTGCCGGCCTCACCGGGGGCGGGGGAAAAGAGCAGCGCGCACAGAGAGCAGCACTCTTGCTGGCTCTGAATGTTTCAAAGCTAACGCTTTTCCTCCCACCTGCTGCTATTGCGGTGCGCGCAGACAAGCGGGTCGTGTGAACCACAAGGCTGACTACCACTGCCGCGTGCAGCTGAGGAGAGCTTGCCTGCCACGTGCAGCTGAGGAGAGGGTGCTTGCCTGCCACGTGCAGCTGAGGAGAGGGTGCTTGCCTGCCACGTGCAGCTGAGGAGAGGGTGCTTGCCTGCCACGTGCAGCTGAGGAGAGGGTGCTTGCCTGCCACGTGCAGGCCTCACCAGAGACTGAGGAGAGCAGTCTTTGCACTGGCTGACCAAGCCAACGATTTTCCCCCCACCTGCTCCCCCACCTGCTCCTAATGCGGTGCGCAGGCAAGCGGGTCGCCGTGTGAGTCGCGAGGCAGAGTACAGCCGCCGCGTGCCGGCCTCACCAGAGGCAGAGGAGAGGGCGCTGCGAGCAGCCTTTGAATTGGCTGAAGCTCTCAAAAGGGGACGGGGCGGAAATGGGAAAGGGGAGGCGATGGTGAAGGCGATGGTGCGATCTCACGTGCATGGGTGCTTCTGGCTGGTGAGCGCTGGGTTGGGTGGGTTGGTTGGTTGGTGGGTGGGTGGGTGGGTGGGTGTGTGCGTGGATTGTGTTGTGGTTCGCTAGCGGGCTAGTGCGGTTTGAAGGCAAAGGGAGGTGAGTGTGAGTGTGAGGCGATGGTGCGATCTCACATGCACGGGTGCTTTCGGCTGGTGAGCGCTGGTCTGGGTGGGTGGACTGTGGGCCATTAGACTGGCAGTCTAGTGGGGTTTGAAGACAAGGCAGTTATGCATTGTTGAGTCCAGTGAAGTGCCATGAGTGCTGTGACGTGCTTTCAAGTGCTTTGCATGTGCTTTCAAGTGCTTTGAAGTGCTTTCAAGTGCTTTGCATGTGCTTTCAAGTGCTTTGAAGTGCTTTCAAGTGCTTTGCATGTGCTTTCAAGTGCTTTGAAGTGCTTTAAAGTGCTTTGCATGTGCTTTCAAGTGCTTTGCATGTGCCTCACAGCTGGTGAGTGTTGGGTTGGTGGTCTGCTTTTTTGCACGTGCGTGCATGGCTGCTGGTGAGTGTGAGGCAGGCCAGCGGGGCAGAAAGGCATTAGTACATGTGTAGGCTGCTACAGACAGGTGCATGAGAACCTCTGTCTGGTGACTTCTGAGTCGACTCAAAAGTCACCTCGCAGTGGAAAGGTTGTTCATGTGTAGAAGGCTGCTACAGAACAGACAGGTGCATGAGCACCTTCTCTGCCTGCTAGCCACATGTTGCAATACGCCACAAGGTACCCGCACGGGTGCAGGCTTCACCGCTGCATTGTGTGTCATCATCTCCATGAAACACAATGCAGCGATGAAGCCTGCACAACCAGAGTTCTCTTAGCTAGGGATTTTTTACTCTCTCTCTTACTTGCTAAAGCTCTTCTCTAGTACTGCCGCCCTTTCGCGATGAGTGACGAGAACACAATACAGAGGTGAAGCCTGCACGGAGTGTGTGTGCTCCCCTTCCTGCCTGATAGCACATGTTTCAATATGACGCACCATAATATACCCGCTGCGTCATTACCTCTACCAAACACAACACAGTGGTGAGACGTGCATGGAGGACAAGGCATGATGACAAAACCCTTCTATCTTAATTCTGTAATACATGCGTGGAAAAGTGCAAGAAGCTACATTTGTTAGGTCGTACATGTGAATTTTCAAGCCTTACTGGAACGTAAACATGTTAACAGCTTAGATGACCATGTTCAAATGCGGCAATGATGATATGTGATGCTACAAAATATGTTTAAATAGTTGCCTGGTTAATCAAGCCAGTGCATGTGGCATGGCTCTGTTTCATTAGAAGTTTTTCCTCCGCTTACTCCGCTTGATCTCTTCTCCTCTTTCACCTTTGCTTTTTCCTTTACATTCCTTTCACAGGCTCTTTGTTTCTTTCTTCTGGTCTTTTCTTTGTCTTGTTTTTTTCTTTCCTTAATTCTTTTATTGTTCTCTCTTTTCTTCCTTGCTTGGTTTCTTGTGTCATTCCTTTTTTCTCTCTTTTTTTGTACACTTTTGTTTTTCTAATACTTGCATTCTTGGAGAAAAACAAACCAGATCCAGTTCATTCCATGCATAGCCGATCCAGTGCCAGCCCAACCCCACACAGAAAGTTGAGAGCAAGCGGTGCGCGCATGTCTCAACCAAGGCAGGTGACATCTGCTGGCGCAGGAAGCGGCTCTGAGGGCGGCAGATAGGCTCATGGTCGCCCTGCCCTCGCCCTGCATGTGCAACCCTGCCCTAATCAACCCTGCCCTGCTCTACCCTGCCCTACTCTATTCTACACAGCAAGCTGCGAGCAAGCACTGCAAGTGTGTCTTAACCAAGGCAGGTGAATTCTGCAGAGGCGCAGGAGGCGGCTCTGATTCCGTGCGTGCGCGTGTCTGTCCCACATGGTTTAACCTACCCCACACCACACAGCAAGCCACGAGCAAGCAGCGGTGCAAACGCCTCTCAGCCGAGGCAGGTGACATCTGCAGAGGCACCACGGTGCCTTGCCCTTAAATTCCATGCGCTTGGCCTATTTACCCTGACCTGAACAGCAAGCCACGAGCAAGCAGCGGTGCAAACGCCTCTCAACCAAGGCAGGTGACATCTGCAGAGGCGCAGGAGGCGGCTCTGAGGGCGGCAGACAGGCTCATGGCCGCCCTGCCCTCGCCCTGCATGGGAAAGCGCATCCACCCATCTCAAATGTCCGGCGGTTTCTGGCTGGTCCGTCTCCCTCCATCCTTGTGTCTCCCTCCATCCTTGTGTCTCCTAGCTGGTCCATCTCTCTCCATCATCGTGTCTTTTGAGTCGACTCAAATGCCCTCCCCGTGCATGTGCAAGCGCATCCACCCGTCTCAGATGTCTGGCACCTTCTGGCTGGTCCGTCTCCCTCCGTTGTCTCTCTCCTTTCGCTCCTTGTGTCACTCTGAGTGTGTGTGTTTTGTTTTTTTTTCTTTCTTTCTTTCTTTCTTTCTTTCTTTCTTTCTTTCTTTCTTTCTTTCTTTCTTTTTCTTTCTTTCTTTCTTTCTTTCTTCTTTCTTTCTTTCTTTCTTTCTTTCTTTCTTTCTTCTTTCTTTCTTTCTTTCTTTCTTCTTCTTTCTTTCTTTCTTTCTTTCTTTCTTTCTTTCTTTCTTTCTTTAGAATCTTTGATTTTTTCTTCTTTTCTTTTCTTTTGCTGTCACTTGTTATTTTCTGTCTCTCTCCTCCTTTTCTGTATTTCACTTCTTGTTTCCATTCTCTCGTGATGCCTCGTTTATACGTTACTCCTGGCACTGTCCCTGATGTAAACAGAAGATAAAAAAAAAAAGGGGGCAAATATCACAAAAGCAAGCAAGCAAACAAGCCAACAAGTAAGCAAAACAAAACAATATGTACTCCACTAGGAGCGAGGAGGCAACTGATAGTTGCCCTTTCACGTGTTATGGTGTCGCAAACATTCCTTCAAGTGGGTGTCACACGGCCAAGAATCATCTTTTTTAACCGCAGAAGAAACAAGCAAGCACCACACAACCGTGCCTTGAGGCAAAACAAGGCAGCTGCCACTATCCTGCTGTGCTGCGCAGAGTCTCTGCTCTGCTGCAGTCAGACACCACTCAACGCAGACAAAATAATTATTATTATTATTAAATAAATAAATAATTTTTTTTTTTCTTCACGTTTTTTGTAGGTCAACATTATCGCTTTCCACTTCACTCTCTCTCTCTCCTCTCCTCATACTTCTTCCATTCTTCCTCTTCTCTTTCTTCCCCATTGGCAGGGCCTGAACAGAAGCTTCTGCGTGGCACACCTCCCCTGCAGCATTGCCACTCTCACTCTCAAAATGGACCCCCCTCAAGGCACTTAGCATCCCGAGGACACAACCAGAGCCGAACCCTCTCAGGGCACTGGAGATTCAGAAGAGGCACAAAGAGTATCTCAAGACATATCTCCCCCATTCTTTCCACCTCTCTTTCCTCCCCATCGGCAGGGCTTGAACCGAAGCTTCTGCGTGGCGCACCTCCCCCGCAGCATTGCCACTCTCACTCTCAAAGTTGACCCGCCACAAGGCACTGCGGATCCCAAGAGCAACACCGAAGCCGATTCCTCTCCAGGCACTAGCGAGGTGACCTTTGAGTCGACTCAGAAGTCTGATTCCAAGTGCAGCAGTGGAGAAGGAGACTCCTCTCAAGGCACTAGCGGCGATTCAACCGACAGCGCCGAAGGAAAGGGTGATGGGGACGGGGATGGAAAGAAGAGGGACGTGAAAGCAGACCGGAAACGAGCAAGGAGTGGAAAGCAGGAGCCACAGGAGGGGGGTTTGGAGGAGGGAGATTTGCAGCAGCTGCTGGGGGAGAGGAGAGCGGTGATGGGGGGGGTGTATGCAGTGGGGGAGGGCGAATGGCGGGCTACCTACCTGCCGCACAAGACGGGGTTGAGTGGCGGGTGGAGGGGGTTTGCTTTGGATCAGGAGCTGGATGCGGGCGATGCCGTGGTGTTTGAAAAGATTGACCAAGTCACACTCAAGGTATGTGGTCGTGTGATGGCCCATTCTAAATCACATGGGGTTGGGGTATGAAAGGGCGAGTGGCAGGCAACCTACCTGCCGCAGATACCGGGTCTGAGGGGCGGGTGGAGGGGGTTTGCTTTGGACCAGGAGCTCGATGCAGGCGATGCCGTGGTGTTTGAGAAGATGGATTCGCACACGCTCAAGGTACGCATGTGGGTGCAGTGCGGTGCAGGTGTATACGTTCAAGGCCAGGCAGGGTTGGGTTGGGTTGTGATGGGGTGGAGGGGGTTTGCTCTGGATCAGGAGCTGGATGCGGGCGATGCTGTGGTGTTTGAGAAAATGGATTCGCTTACACTCAAGGTATGCATATGAGTGCAGTGCGGTGCAGGTGTATGCATGCGTGGCCAGGCAGGGTTGGGTTGGGTTGGGTTATGATCGGGTGGAGGGGGTGCAGTGCGGTGCAGTGCGGTTGTATACCAGAAGCTGTATTCTGCTGTGGTGGTGTGTGTGATGCTTGTGAATTGTGGTGTCGGAACGAACAAACTTCAAGCGTGGTGTTGTTAGTAGTTTCGAAATGATCTTTTCCTTGCGCGGGCACCAAGTGTGATACAACCCAGGTATGGAGGGCGTGGGCTTTTGAGGGCCTGGAGTTTGGAGGGCCTGGAGTTTGGAGGGCCTGGGGAGTGAGTGGGATATGTATGAGAGTGAGTGAGAGCATGTGGGCAGCCTGGTAACCACCAGGAGCAAAACAACCTCCTGAATTTTCCTGGCTCTCTTTGGCTCTCTTGCTTGGATTGGCAGGTTCACATCTTCCGAGCAGCAGACTTCGTATCGTGTGCCACTGTAACGAGGTGACATTTGTGCCATTGTAACGAGATTCACTCTCTTTGATGCCCACCATCCCTTGGATTGGCAGGTTCACATCTTCCGAGCAGTGGACTTCGAGGAGGATGCCATTGCGATCAATTCGGAGGACAGGCCAGCAAAGACCAAGAGGAAAACCATGAGCTGATGTTGCTATGTTTGTGCATGACTTCATGTGACGAGTCACAGCGGCACAGAGCTTGCTCTATTGTCGGGACGAGAATTGATTAAAGCCTGTAACGCTTAGCTCAGAGGAGCAACTATGCAGATTCTAAGGAAACGCCCTGATTGTTCAGGGCAGAAAGTCTATGCCATCCAATACCGTCATACCCCGGATATAAGCGCCACCCTCGGATAAGCGCCTGGCGCTTTTAATTGGCGCATGGCGCTTATATCCGCTGCTAGATTATAAGCGCACCCCCTGAAAAAACTTGTTTTATTATAAGCGCACGTAAACTTTAAATTTTGAAATGTGTTCGAAACACTGTAACGATATTTACTTTAGCAGGGGGATGTGTTGCAGATTCACTTCCCTTCACATTCGGACCCTGCACTGGATGCGGGTCCAGTCAGCAGGAGCAGTCTGACTTTATCAGACTAAAATAGTCTGATTGTCTGAAATTTCAGGGTATTTTCCTACGGATCCTGATTTTTCAGACTTGTAAGATTTTCAAACATGAGTACTTCAGACTTACTAGTTTCTGGATACTGAGATTTTCAGAGTCTTGACTTAGCCGATAATGGGTCTTCGGACCATAGGGAGTCCCGAACCTGAAATGCGGATCTGTACTTTCTACGTACCTTCCAGTACGTCACATGTTGCCAGTGTATGAACACACTTCACGGCGCTGTCACGCGCAAAATCTGTACGTACTTGGCAACTTTTGCCACACTTTCCCTTAGAAATCTTCCAACTTGGCTCTGTTTCACTCACGCGTGACCATCGCTGCAGCTATGTGGTGTCAGCGAAGGAAACTTTGGTCAGGGTCCTCGCTAGGTTTTGAACCCCCCTGATGCATCAGACGGGCCCTTCGGGCCCGTCTGATGCATCAGAAATGTTACTTTAGAGTGTCTGACGAATCAGAAACTTGTAAAAACCTTGTCTGACCAATAAATACAAAGTAACTAGTGTGCTGGTGCACGTGGGAAAAAAACCTGAGTCGAACTTACCTGTCAAATTCATTCGAAGGGCACACAACACTCGCCTTGTAGACATTCGCTCCATCACACCACATTCGCCCCGTCACACCACATTCGGCCCGTCACCTCACACCACATTCGCCCCGTCACACCACATTCGCCCGCCCTATCACAAGAGGGATTCGCACTGCTTTTAGTGTAGAGATTCGCCCTGACACAATGAGGAATCAAGTTGACTCAGTCAACCTGTCACAGCAGAGATTTATGCACTGTCACGGCAAGGATTCCCTTCCCGCCGCTGGAAATCGCGATAAGCTATGTTATGCTATGTTTCGGTTTCAGACGAAACAGGAAGCACGTGTCTGATAGAAGTCTGATTTTGCCTTAAGTCTGAGTACTTCAGACTTGTGTTTTTGCGAAACCTGAAAAATCAGAGTAACCATTCTCGGGGAAATATGCCTCAGACTAAAAAATTTCAGAGCCCCCAGAACATCAGACTGGTTTTTTTTTAATAGTCAGCCCTGGTCAGGAGCTGTGAGAAGCTGTCAGAAGCTGTCAGAGTACGTGTATCTCCAGCGCGCGCAAGAATTTCACAGACGACCCCATGTAACTTCGACTCGATTGAAAAAGGCAAGCACGAGATCTACAGCTTGGTGTTAAAAAATATATAAAATATATATGTCGTTTTATAAACGCCGGCGCTTATAAATTTACTCGATTATAAGCCCACCCCCCTAAAAAAACCTGTTTTATTATTGCCCCCCATGGGGGTATATCCGGGGTATGACGGTAGTTTCAGCGCACGTGTAAAACTGATTTATTATTACTTCTAGCTAGGCCTGTTAACTCCTTTAACTTAGCAACTCTGATGATGAGGGTATTAGAATGGTCTAAGCTACTAGCGGAAGCTATAGTAGTCTTAGAACCTCCTCCTAAGGCCTAGGAATCTTAGGAGCCAACTTGGGAATGAACCATGCTAGAATCAAAGAGGTTTCCAAAGTGTAGTTCCAACAAGAGAGAACCCTAACCTATAGGGTTTGGGAGGTGGTCCACTCTAAAGAGTGTACACCACAAGTTCTCCCAACCCAACCAATGTATTCTACACTACTATAGTGTAGATCTGCCACTACAAATGTTTATTGGAGCAACCCGAATTAACCTTAATTCCAACACCCCCCCTTGCTCCAATAAGCATTAAGTTCACCCACAAATCAAAACACAACCCCTCCAGCGAATGAAGCCTTGGCCTTCGCAGCCATCACTCGCATGCCGATGCGCTCAAGGTTCTCATGCAGCTGCAAGCTTGGGAGAGCTTTGGTGAGCATGTCGGCATCCTGGAGGTGGGAGCGTACTGAGTGCACCTCGACCTCCTGCTGGCGCACCGCATCCCGTACAAAGTGCCATGCCACCTTAATGTGCTTGGTGCGCTGATGGAGAACGGGATTGTGGGCAAGGGAGACAGCAGCCTCATTATCACAGAGCAATGGAATAGCCCCCCCATCCCCCACATGCATCTCTGCCAACAAACTCCTCAGCCAAATGGCCTCCTTGGCCCCCTCCGATAAGCTTTATACTCAGCTTCAGAAACACTTGCTGCAACACTGTCTTGCTTTTTGCTATACCAGCTGATAGCTCCTCCTCCCAACTTAAAGATGTAGGCAGAGCGACTCTTGCCATCAGTCTCACCACCCCAATCCGAGTCGGTGTACCCAACAACCTGCTCACCACCTTGGCGTTCATACCTGATGACACGATCAGCTGTGTCGACCAAGTACCTGAGTGCTCTCAGTGCAGCGCGCATGTGAATGCGTCTTGGTGCCACGCAGGACTGTGCAAGGGTGTTGACAGTGAAGGACATGTCAGGACGGGTAGTCACAGCAGCATACATCAAGCTGCCAATGAGACTCTGGTACACCTTGACATCAGCTGCAGCACCTTCCTTACTCGACCACGTACCATTCCTGATCTTAGAGAGATCATTGGGTGACATTGGAGTATGCACCCTATGTGTCTCCTTCAGCAGATCACCAAACCTTCCCTGGAGACCACGGACATATTTCTCCTGACCAATCTCCAACCACCCATCCTTAACCGACCTGCGAACCTCCACACCAAGTTACGTGGATACCTCACCTAGATCCTTCATCTGGTACCTCTGAGCAAGCACCTCCTTGACCTGACCGATCAGCTCCAAGCGTGGAGACACAAGCAAGAGGTCATCCACATACACCAATACATACACTGGCTCTTCACCACAAACCTGATGTACAGAGCCTCATCGCATGCACTGCGGTCAAACCCTGCTGCAATCAGGGTGGTACCAATCTCCTCATTCCAAGCACGAGGCGCTTGCTTGAGCCCATAGAGAGCTTTGCGCAAGCGATACACCCTACCTGTACCATCATCAAATCCCTCAGGTTGCCTCACATACACCTCCTCTTGAAGGACTGCATTGAGGTAGGCATGATCAACATCCTCTTGTTGTACATGCCACCCTTTTACCGCGGCTTCTGCAAGAAGCACCCGACCTGAGGTGAGCTTGCCCACAGGGGCAAATACCTGATCATAGTCCTTTTCGGGCTCCTGAGTGTACCCCTTAGCAACAAGGCGAACCTTGTGCTGTACCACCTTATCCTCCTTGTCAGTTTTCCTGCGGAAAACATACCTGACCCCAATTGCCTTCTTACCGGGAGGTAAGTCGACCGGCTCTGGATCCCATACACCCATAGTGCGCATTGCATTCACCTCCTTCTCAGCGCCTGCCTTCCACGCAGGACCCTCAGGGCCACGCAGTGCCTCAGCGAGTGTGCGTGGGACATCACCGGTGCTCACACCTGCGAGGGCAACACCCTCCACCTCCCTGGCCAAACACATCATGCCCTCAACCGCACCAGCATCCCCCCTACCTCCTCACCACCTGAACCAGACTGGATACCAAGCACCTGCAAGCCTGTAACCGATGGTGGGGAGGTAGTCGCTGGTGACGTAGGTGCATTCGTAGAGAGAGTGACAGAGCGCTGGCCAGAGGAGGAGGAGGAGGAGGAAGAAGCCTGTGTAGCGGATCTCCGCTGACTGGCCGAGGGGCCACTGAGCTGCTGCAGAGGGGTGGGCTGCTGCTGCACCGACACACTCAGCGGTGCCGGTGGCAGTGATGAAGGTGGCATCTCAGCGTCGTCAACCGCTGCTGAGGGTGGCGAGAGTGGAAGAGGGAGGAGCTGGAAAAACTCAGCTGCATCCTGCAGAAGCTCCTCAAAACCCTTTGCGTTGTCCCAATCCTTCCACATCACATTCTCAAGAAAATCAACATCCCGAGCAATGCGAATGCGCATGAGAGAAGGGTCCAGCATGCGCCAACCCTTGCTCTCCATGTCCACCCCAACACAGACACACATGACAGCGCGTGCATCAAGCTTGCCACCCTTCTCATGCCCATGCAGCATGACACTCCCCATGCAACTCCAAATCCGAGCCATGCCCACATGCGGCTTCTGGCCGGACCACACCTCCATTGGTGTGATGGAGGCAGGCAAAGCACTGTGGGTGACCCTGTTCTTAACCTATACGACCCACATCAATGCTTCACCCCACAAGCGAGCAGAAAGACCACTGTCGACCAACAATGTGCGAATCCCTTCTGCCATCGTCCTGTGCCACCTCTCCACGACCCCATTCTGTTGCGGTGTATCTACGACACTCAATTGGGTTTTGATGCCAAACTCCGCCTTCCATGCCTTTACAGCTTCCCCCAAAAACTCGCCACCCGTGTCTGAGCGAACAGCCTTCAGCTTCCGCCCAAACTCCAACTCCACGTCCTTATGCCACTGGCGAAGGACTTTTGCGACTGTGGCCGATTCCTTCTTAAGGAGTGGGAGCGACCAAACTCGTCTGGTGAAGTCGTCAATGAGACTGAGGACATACACCGCTCCTCCCAGTGACGGTGTGCGCACTGGCCCCCACAGATCCATGTGGACCTCATCCAAAGGCCCAAGTGCCCGAGACGCCTCATGGGGAAACGGCTTCCGAGCTGACTTTCCCAATAAGCAAGGCTCACATGGGGAGCAATCAGTGCTCCCCCCCCAATCTCCAAGCCTAGTACACTGTTCCCCCGAGCCATCTGTTGCAATGTTGTGGGGTTGGTATGACCAAGGCGGCGATGAGCAAGGGTCAATGGGGAAAATGAGGAGGAGGAACCAGCTGCAAGAGCACTGCCTTGTGTGCCCGCACCAATCCATGGTCCCTTCCCCTCTCCTTTTCTCCAATCGCCAACACCCTCTCCCCCCGTTTAAGAACACATTTCTTGCCCTTGAATGTGACAATGACATCTCGAGAGGTGAGGTGTGGGACTGACAGCAGACGCGTGTGCATCTCAGGCACAAGGTGGACCTTTTGAATCCTCAACAGCTGACCTCCAGCACCAACCACTGGCACCTCACCCATGCCAACAGCTTTCACCACCTGTCCATCCCCCAATCTAACTCCCCGAACCTCTGGCGGCTGAAGCTTACTTTTGAAGTCTGATGCATAAGGAGTAAAGTTGTGGCTGGCCCCACTGTCAATCCACCACCCCTCTCGCGGCTGCTCCTCTCCCACTGCTGTAACTGCCTCTCCAACCACTGCCTCTGCCTTGTCATCCTGCTCCTCCTCATCCGCCACCTGTGCCTTGCCGTTGGACCGACGATCCCCCCGCTTTAAGAATGCCGAAATGCCTCCCTTAGGTCGATGAGGACATCGCTGCCATGCATGTCCCTCATCCCAACAGCCATGACACAACCCCCGAGGAGCCATGCCCTTGGACCCCCAGGTGAAATCAAGCACTCCCGCTTTGCCTTTCCCTTGACCCCATCTGCCCGAGTTGGTGTCACTGCTGCTACCGCTGCCTCCATGCTTTCCTCCCTTGTCCCAATTTCCCCTACCGCTGCTACCCACTTTCGTACCCGCTCCAAAAGTGGCTACACCATCCGATCTTGGTGCGACACCAATCCGCATCTCCTCGCTCCTCAAGGAGGTAAGCAGCTGATCCTTACTGAGCGATGATGACTAGTTGTTCAGCACCACCTTCAGCATCTCAAATTGAGAAGGTAGTCCTTTGAGTACCCTCATCATCCACTCCTCAACCTCCTCCTTCCCTTCTGCAGCCAAGTACTTGGACCTCAAGTCCTCGGCACGCGCCCAGTATGCAGCCACTCCGTCCCCCTCTTTCATCTTCAATGAGGAGAGCTCCTCAGAGAGTGCCATCCGATTACACAATCCACACTGAAGGTAGAACTCCTTCACTCGTGTGTATGCCGCTGCTGTGCCTGCAGTAGCCCGGGTGACTGCTCTTGCTCCGCCATCAACAGGTGCGCTGCCCAACTCGGTCTTGCCGCCGAACTCCCGTACCAAGCGAATCAGCTCATCTGGCACCAAGGCATTGCAAAATTGGGCGAATGCCTTCTGATTTTTCCTCTCCCACTTCAGCCGTGCATCACCCGTTGCAGGTCGCTCCTCCGAGCCATCAAAGTACCCCCATAGATCGTGCGCCTCTGCCCATTGTTCGAATCGGAAGCTCCAAGTCCAATAGTCGCTCCCGTCAAACTTGGGCGCACTCTCCAGCTTCCCTTCGCCTGAGTCGTGATCCATTTGTGGCGCAGGCACTGAAGATTGACGTTGAGGTGGTAGTGGAGGCAACGGCGGCGGCGGTGAAGACGATGCGGGCAGATTCGCCCCCTTTTGTTTTTTTTTTTTAGCGTAATTCCGCGCTCAAATCTCCGAATGATGAGCTGTTTGGTTTTGATTAATCCTCGCTCCGAGCCTGTTCCAATGGTGTATCGCGCTCTGGGATCCCACGTCCGAGCTGTCCGCTTAAACTCGTCGAAGTTGGCTGAGTTTCCGTCGACGAAGACTCAACCGTTTCGCCTGATTTTTGGCTTGTTGGATGCGCCCTGATGTCCTCTCTTGGCGCCCGCCCTCCAATTTTCCGCGCTTTAAATCGTCCCCGATTCGCGATTTTCCAATTCGGCCACCGGCAGTTTTTCGCGAATTGCGTCCGATCGGCTCGTCGATTGGTTACAACTCTAAGGCAATTGTTGTGAATCGTGCTGAGGCCTTTCCAACGGTATGCTGCACGTCTTGATCGGCCAAAGTTGACTGAGCGCCTCCGTGAATGGATGTCGCCCTTCTCGTCCTACCGAACGGATCCACTCGATTTCCAGCAGTTTTCTTCTCTCCTCCTCCCCTCCCACGTCCAGAGTCCGCCACGGTGCAATTTCGGCAGCCCTTCGGGAGGGATGTAAGCTAAATAGCTTCCACCATGATATTATGGTCCGATGTCTTGAGTAACTCCTATTCCAACAGATTGCTAGGCCTTCCTCGCTCTGATACCATATTAGAATGGTCTAAGCTACTAGCGGAAGCTATAGTAGTCTTAGAACCTCCTCCTAAGGCCTAGGAATCTTAGGAGCCAACGTGGTCATAAACCATGCTAGAATCAAAGAGGTTTCCAAAGTGTAGTTCCAACAAGAGGGAACCCTAATCTATAGGGTTTGGGAGGTGATCCACTCTAAAGAGTGTACACCACAAGTTCTCCCAACCCAACCAATGTATTCTACACTACTACAATGTAGATCTATCACTACAAATGTTTATTGGAGCAACCCGAATTAACCTTAATTCCAACAGAGGGCTTGGTAGTAGCAGTACTAAAGGAGAATGGTGCTTCTTCCCTGACTTCTGGAGAATGGTGCTACACTAAATGGAGCCTTAGGTGATTTCCCTTGTTGGGGTGTGTAATCTATCCCAACACACTTGCTGGTTGGTACCACACTGACCTTGGTTGTGTAATTTACCAATGCTTGTGATATGCTAACAACTACCGTATGTTCCAGATGTTGGGTTGAGAAAAGCCCTTAGGATCTTTCAAGGCTATAACTCCTGATAGAGATGTTGTAATTGCAGAAGCGTTTAAAACCCAAGTCTAGAATGGCAAAGGTTCAAGTTCAAGATTCTTGAACTAGAATTTGCCAAGGAACAAGGTAACCCGGTTTGGGTCCGCATCCACCTCGCGACCCACCGAGAGGGAATTGAAGCGCGAGGCATTGATTGGCCAGACACAGCAAATGCAATCCCACAACTATCCTCGCCATAAAAAACAAAGCACACTGAACTGTTCAGACTTCTCAAAACTTGAAAGCTTTCTTTACCACTCTAGACTCTACACGTAGTAGGCTCCTTAGCCCGTCATTCCATGAATCGTACACCGCGCTGAGGCTTTTTTTCTCGATCAGTCATTCTGCCTAACACTTCCAGCCCACGTCGTTCAGATCTCACCCTTCGATCAGGTTAGGAGCCTCGCAATCGTCGTTCACGACTGTCGTGACTTGCCTCCCAGCCCTTCCGTGGCTCTCGTCGCTTCCGTCAGTCCCGCCCCCTTAGACACTCCCAATCTATCGCTCGCATGCAGGATGCGCAGAAAGATAGCGAGAACCGTCGCCCTGGTCCCTCGTTGCTCAAGAAACTCTCGTTGTGTTTGTCCCTCCCGTCGCTCCCGTCCCTTGTCCATCCCGTCGCTCTCCGCTTTCCCTTTCCGTCGCCCACGCTTTTCCATCGCGTCGCTCACCGCTTTCTCTTCCCGTCGTTCGCCCTTTTCCTTCCGTTCCCCCTCGCTTTCCCTTCCCGTCGTTCCCGCTCCTCCTGTCGCTCCCGCTTCTCCCGACGCTCCCGCTCCCGCTCCTCCCTTCGCTCCCGCTCCTCCCGTCGCTCCCACTCTCGCGCCTCCCTTCGCTCCCGCTCCCCTCGTCGCTCCCCCTCCCGCTCCTCCCTTCGCTCCCGCTCCTCCCGTCGATCCCGTCGCTTTCGTCCCTCACGTCGCTCACGTTGCTCCCGTCGCTCTCTTCCCTTCGGTCCCTCCCGTCCCTCTCCGTCTCTCACCTTCCTTCCCTCTTCGCCTCTCCCCTTTCCCTTTCCATGCGTGCCGCCCTTGTTCTCCCTGCCCGTTCGGAGCACTAGTGTTCCCCCTTTATGAACCCATCCGCTTCCCCCTGCCCTTCCCTCCATTTTCCCTTGCCTCTCCCTCTCCCCCTTCCATATCCCATCTGCCCATCCTCAACCCGCTCTCTCACTCCCAACGCTCTCTCACTCCCAACGCAACTTCCAACGCTCTCTAACTCCCAACGCTCTCTCACTCCCAACGCTCTCTCACTCCCAACGCTCTCTCACTCCCAACGCTCTCTCACTCCCAACGCTCTCTAACTCCCAACGCTCTCTAACTCCCAACGCTCTCTCACTCCCAACGCTCTCACTCCCAACGCTCTCTCACTCCCAACGCCCTCTCACTCCCAACGCTCTCTCACTCCCGACGCTCTCACTCCCAACGCTCTCTCACTCCCAACGCTCTCTCACTCCCAACGCTCTCTCACTCCCAACGCTCTCTCACTCCCAACGCTCTCTCACTCCCGACGCTCTCTCACTCCCGACGCTCTCTCACTCCCAACGCTCTCTCACTCCCAACGCTCTCTCACTCCCAACGCTCTCTCACTCCCAATGCTCTCTCACTCCCAATGCTCTCTCACTCCCAACGCTCTCTCGCTCCCAACGCTCTCTCACTCCCAACGCTCTCTCACTCCGAACGCTCTCTCACTCCCAACGCTCTCTCAATCCCAACGCTCTCTCACTCCCAACGCTCTCTCACTCCCAACGCTCTCTCACTCCCGACGCTCTCTCACTCCCGACGCTCTCTCACTCCCAACGCTCTCTCACTTCCAATGCTCTCTCGCTCCCAACGCTCTCTCACTCCCAACGCTCTCTCACTCCCAACGCTCTCTCACTCCCAACGCTCTCTCACTCCCAACGCTCTCACTCCCAACGCTCTCTCACTCCCAACGCTCTCTCACTCCCAACGCTCTCTCACTCCCAATGCTTTCTCACTCCCAACGCTCTCTCACTCCCAACGCTCTCTCACTCCCAACGCTCTCTCACTCCCGACGCTCTCTCACTCCCGACGCTCTCTCACTCCCGACGCTCTCTCACTCCTAACGCTCTCTCACTCCCAACGCTCTCTCACTCCCGACGCTCTCTCACTCCCAACGCTTTCTCACTCCCAACGCTCTCTCACTCCCAACGCTTTCTCACTCCCAACGCTCTCTCACTCCCAACGCTCTCTCACTCCCAACACTCTCTCACTCCCAACGCTCTCTCACTCCCAACTCTCTCTCACTCCCAACGCTCTCTCACTCCCAACGCTCTCTCACTCCCAACGCTCTCTCACTCCCAACGCTCTCTCACTCCCTACGCTCTCTCACTCCCAACCCTCTCTCACTCCCTACGCTCTCTCACTCCCAACGCTCTCTCACTCCCTACATCCTCCTGGGTTCCTACCTACATCCTCAATCTTTCCCCCTCTCTGCCTCTCTCGTCAAATCCCTCTAAGCACATCCCCTCCTTTCCCACTCGCCCCCTCCCTCCTTTCCCTCTCAGCCCCTCTCCACCCCCTTCCTCAGCCCCTCTACCCCTTTCCCTCTCAGCTCCTCTCATCCTTTCCCTCTCAGCCCCTCTTCCCCTTGTCCCTCCTTCCCTTTCCCCCTGTCCTTCCCTCCGTTTTGCCCCTTGTTCCTCCCTACCGTTCCCCCTGTCCTTCCCTCCGTTTTTCCCCTTGTTCCTCCCTCCCATTCCCCCATGTCCTTCCTTCCGTTTCCCCCCTTGTCCTCCCTTCTCACTCCAGGTTCTTCTCAAGTTGCGCCCCCGACTTACAACTCACAAAATGCATGTGCACCACCACCACGCACCTTTCGCGGTTATAACTTTTAAACCGGAAGAGAGAATGGGCACAAGATGGATGAGGCAGTCATTTTCAGGAATAAATGAATTGGCGAACTATTTCGGGTTTTTTTTTTTTCCTGGTTTCAACTTGTATTGAAATGTGGAAATCCTCTGCAATTCACAATACTGTTGCTCTTGCACCCACACAGATTACGGCATGTGAAAAAAAACTTATTTCCACTTCAGAATTGCTATCACATCAGTCTTATAAGCTTTTCACAAGTCTTATATGCTGTAAAGCAGTTTGTAATACGGTACACTACCATAGTCAATTACACATTCGACTTTCAGGTGTGATCCTTCGGACCCTCCATGTTCTCGCCTTGTGCCAATTTTGTCCTTTTGTGTAGCCTTCAGGTTTCTTGAACTTGAAAGTGGTCAACAGTACGCAGGGTCTCATTCCGCGCTCGTCAACCTTCGCCACATAGGTTTTGCGAATTGAACTCTCGCAACCCTTTGCAAGCATAATTACAAGTTCAGTAATTATGAAACATTACCATTCTAGAATCAGATTTTAACGATAAGTGTTGAACCACCTTGCGCTAGTATGTGAGGGCAAGATAGATTGATTATAGAAACAAATTACAAGCTTTTATAAGATTACAGGAGAATACGAAAGGTTTGACTAACTTCTTATTTGTAACTGCAATTGTAACTGCTGCTGTTGCGGTTCGATACAGTGACGACTCGGGCAACTGCTCAATATCGAGTCAGTTGTTTGTCCTTGCTGTCGCGCTGTATTTGTCAGGTCAAAGGTCGCTGACCTTTGACCTTCGCGTAACCTCCGGCTGTTACTTTTCTGTCAACCTCCTCGGTTGACTCGCTGTTGCTGCGCTGTAGTTCGCCTCGTTTACAGTTCGATGTTGCGACACACAAGAAGCGTTAAATCATTTGTTTCCAACACTCCCCTTCGCTTCTGGAGTGTCGTTGCTGGTGACGTGGCCTTGTCCAGTCAGCTGTTAGACTAAGAGGAAGAATGGGTGAGACTATCGAGAGAGTTGGTACAAGTGAAAACCCTAAGGGGTTGTACCCTACATTGACTACCTCACTACAGCTTACATAATCTAGCATAAGATATACAGTTTGACACACCCCCATAGGCAAAGTGGGAAGAACAAGGGGTCACAAGACCAGTCAAGAAAAGCAAAGCAAGCTTAGGGTGGATCACAACGTCACCACACACTCCGAGCACAAGCAAAGGGCCACAAGGCTAGTTCACATGCAGAGGTATATATGCAACAACAACAGTACAGTGATCACTACCTAGCAAGAGTAAACATGCAGGTATATATATATATATATATATATATAACACTACAACCAGAGTCTACCGCAAGTGAGGAAACGTAGGCACCAGGCCTAGAGCAGTGCAGAAGCGCTGATGATCACCAGCCGGAAGGGCCTTGGTGAACACATCAGCCGTGTTGGCCCGGGTGGGCACGTGAGCGACACGAAGCTGACCACGTTGCTGCAACTCTCGAGCAAGGAAGTAACGCAAAGCGATGTGCTTCGTTCTGTGCTCCAGTCTATGCTCCTGACACAAGGCAATGGCAGCCTTGTTGTCGACGTACAACACTGGAGGAGAACGAGGCCGCTCTCCCAAGTCGGTCAGCAGGTAGGTGAGCCAGCATAGCTCCTGTGCAGCCATGGCTGTGGCGTAGATCTCAGCCTCACAACTGGAGCTGAGAACAGAAGACGAGCGTGTAGACCGCCAAGAAACAGAGCCAGAGCCAAGGCTGAACGTGTAACCCTGTGACGACCGCTGCGTAGCCTGGTCATCAACCCAAGAAGCGTCTGAGTGCCCAGTGAGGACAACTGAGCTCCGCCCTCCAAGCACGAGCCCCATGCCCGATGTACTGCACAAGTAGCGCATTACCCTCTTCGCAGCATCCCAGTGCACCTTTCGGTGCCTACCGTGTTAGAATACTAGCTAAGGCTTAGAAGCCATGGCTAGGGTTTAGGGTACACGAAAGAGAAATAGGAGAAGAGGGTTGAACTAGAAAGGAGGGGGGTACAAATAGCAAGCCCTAAAAGGGTTATACTCACTATTGAGTACCCCACTACAGACTAGACAAGCATTATATTCTGACACACCCCCATAGTCAAAGTGGGGTACAATCAACACAACAAGCAGGCAAAGCAGTAGGTCACAGTGATAAGCAAAGCTAGAGACTATCACAGAGGGCAAGTGAGGAGGAGGAGAAACTGTGGGGGCGAGAAGATGGGAGGCGACGGCTGAAGCTGCAGACACACGGGCAACAGGAGTGCGCAGAACTGTCGCTACCAGGCTAAACCCGGACTACACGGCGACAATCGCAGCTGGCTCTCTGTGCTCCCAGGAGTGCTCACACTGTGGCTACCGGGCGCAGAGCCCCGGACTACTCAGGCCACAGGGGGTCGTGGCTCTCTGGACTACCAGGAGTGCTCACACTGTGGCTACCGGGCGCAGAGCCCCGGACTACTCAGGCCACAGGGGGTCGTGGCTCTCTGGACTTCAGGCGCTGCGGACGACAAGACGACTGCCTCCACTCAACTTCCCCCAGCTGTCCCACACCCGTGTCACACACCCCCTGCTGCACCTCTAGCACTGCTCACACGCCACCCCCCTCATATAACTCCGACGGCTCCAACACATCCACCCCCCTCAGCGGCAGCTGCAGCAGTGGGAGAGAGAGGAGGAGGAGGAGCAGGGGACGGCGCACACACCCGTCACCCCCATACTCGCCACCCCCACACTCGCCACCCCAAACCCTAATACAGGCAGAAGCGCGAGCAGCAGCGGGGGACACAGCGGGCAGCAGCTCAGGGAACGGCGCGCGGCTCCGGGGCAGGCTGCCCGGGCCGCGCGCGGGCCTGGCGCAGCCCGTACGGGCCGCGCGCGGGCTGAACGGGCCGCGCGCGGGCCTGGCGCAGCCCGTACGGGCCGCGCGCGGGCCTGGCGCAGGTCGTACGGGCCGCGCGCGGCCCGCGCGGGGCCCAGGGGCGCTTCGACGGGCGACGGGGGGCTTTTCGACAGTCGACGGGGGGCGATGCGCGGGTCGACGAGGCAGAAAACCGCCGCGCGCGCGACAGACAGGAAAGCAGCGGAAGCACGTGGAACCCACAGGCCAAGAGCATAATAGCTCTGATTCCATGTTAGAATACTAGCTAAGGCTTAGAAGCCATGGCTAGGGTTTAGGGTACACGAAAGAGAAATAGGAGAAGAGGGTTGAACTAGAAAGGAGGGGGGTACAAATAGCAAGCCCTAAAAGGGTTATACTCACTATTGAGTACCCCACTACAGACTAGACAAGCATTATATTCTGACATACCGGGAGACACGTAGCGTGCCAGAAGGCCAAGAGGGCAACCGAGGTCAGGACGAGTGCAGGTCATCAGGTACATGAGGAAGCCCACTAGCTCTGGGTACGGGCCACTCGGCTCTACGGACTCGTCCGAAGGTGGAGCTGAGAGCGAGCGACCGGTAGCCAGAGGAGTGGACTGTGGCGAGGACCAAGTGAAGCCGAAGCGCTGAAGGACCTGGTGCACCATGTGTGACTGAGTCAGTATGATGGTGCGCCGTGCTCTGTCCCGGGTGATCTGCAGGCCAAGATAGCTGCGCAGCTCACCCAGGTCTGTGCACGTGTGTCTCTTCTGCAGCTCCGACTTCACAAGAGCAAGTGCCTCAGTGTCAGCAGTGGCAAAGACCAAGTCGTCGACGTACACGAGGATGTAGAACGACGGCAACCAAGTGTCGGTGCGCAAAAACAGCGACGGGTCAGCAGTGGAAGCTGCAAACCAAGAGCCGCAAGTGTCGTCCTCAGTGTGTCGTGCCACTCACGAGGCGCCTGACAGAGACCGTAGACCGGCCCGTGGAGGCTCCACTGGGTACCAGCAGGAAACGACCCAGTGAAGCCAGGTGGGCGGCGCAGCCAGATCTCCTCGTGCAGACTGCCCTGTAAGAAGGCTGTGCTGAAGTCAAGAGAGTGAAGCTCGTAGTCACGCTGAGCGGCGACGTGCAGCAGTACCCGAAGAGTGGTCATCTTCGGGGTGGGGGAGAAAGTCTGGAAGAAGTCAACTCCCTGTCGCTGACTGAAGCCTCGTGCAACGTAACGAGCCTTGAAGACAGGCGGAGAACCCGGCGGCCGCTTCACCCTGAAAATCCACATGCCATCGACTACGTTCGCCCCGGGAGGGGGAACTGCGTCGACGTAAGTGCCTGTGGACTTCCAGGATGCCATCTCTGCGTCCATGGTTGCCTGCCACTGAGAGGAGTACTCACCCGCCATCGCCTCAGCGTAAGAGCGCGGGGTCGGGATGTCTGGAGCATCCGGGTCTCCCTCAGGGGCAAGCAGCGTGGCCACGAGATGTGGCGCAGCGGCTGCAAGTCACTCAAAGTCCTCTTGCCTGTCCTCAAGGACGTCCGTACCAAGAGCACACTCACCCCCGACGGACGGAGGACAGACAGACTCAGACTCAGCAACAAGACTAGCAGCGAAGTCTAGACGACAGGCAGCAGCAAAGTCAACAAGCTCAGAGACTAAGGCAGACGCAGCAGCAGACTCAAACGACGGGTTAGTGACAACAGTGGCTAGCAGACGCGTGACAGTAGGGTGAGCAGCACGAACCAGGTCAGACTCAGGGTCCGGAACGTCAGGCAGAGAAGACGCAGGAGGAGACGGCAGAGGGACACGCTGTGGAACAGAGGAAGGACGAAGTGCCATAGTGTGAGTGAAGCTCTTCCGGGCGGGGAAGTGGCCGAAGATCAAGGCCCAGCGAGAGAAGAAGTGCAAGGAGTGGCTGCACGGATGCAGCAGGCTATGTCAAACTAGATATGTGTTAGGCTGTAGTGAGGTAGCCTATATAGGGTACAACCCAAAGTTAGGGTTAGTACTTGTACCCTTCATTCATTCAATACAGTCATTCCTGTTCGTTGATTTTGACATGGTATCAGAACAGTAGGTCCGTAGGACCGTTTTTTCCGGGCCCACCGTTAGCTAGT